TGGCAGGCTTTCGTCGGGCCGCTCCTCCATTGACTGTGTCCTTGACTTATCGACATTTGTTCAACAAGAAAAAAGTCGCAAGCGCATATCAGTGGCACTCTTTCTTGACGTGAAGGGTGCATATGATAATGTAGCTCACGATGCCATCCTCACTTCTCTCGCAGCAATGGGCATTGGTGGACGAATGTTTCAATGGATAAAAGATTATATAACTGGCAGGGGTTTCTTTGTACAAACATATGAGGGTACAACTGCCCAACATTACACCTACTGCGGAGTACCTCAGGGAGGTGTTTTAAGCCCCACATTGTTCAATGTGGCCCTCATTGGTCTGGTGAAGGTTCTGCCAAAGTCGGTGTGCCTATCCATATACGCCGATGATATTTGCCTCTGGAGTGCTGCAGTTACTCGCCCTCAGGTGCGTGCACGAATACAGCGGGCAGCAACCCTCACAACAGCCTACCTTCAGAAACAAGGCCTAAATATATCAACTGTGAAGTGCGCGTTGATGGCGTTTACACGCAAACCAATGACGCCATACCCTGTTTACATCAATGGGCAGAGTGTCAAATATGCACGGACGCATCGTTTCCTGGGCATAATAATCGACAGAAGTCTTTCGTGGAGCCGACATTGTGCGTACTTGAAGAAGAGACTGCTATCTATTGTGCATATCATGAAATTCTTGTGCGGTAAAGCATGGGGAACTTCTGTGGCCTCCATGCTACAGCTGTACAGGGCCCTATTTCTGGGTCTATTGCGCTACAGCTTGCCGGTACTGACTAACACTTGCAAATCGAATACTCATTCATTGGAGAGTTTGCAGGGTCAGGCACTGCGTATCTGCCTAGGACTGCCCCGATGCGCTTCTACTTATGCCACAATCATGCTTGCCAAAGACCATCCGGTCAGGACATATATAGTTGTGGATTGCCTCAGAGCGCACATTCGACATGCTAGCCGTGTCCCCGACCACCACTTGTCCCTTCTACCTTCCGGAAGACCACGTGCTACGTTTTCAGACGTCATAGCCAAGCACCTAAACAGCATTCCATCAGGATATACGCAAGCTGCGAGAACGGCATGCCCTCTGTGGTGCCTCGACCAGCCGCAAGTACGTCTAGAAATTCCGGGAATCAAAAAGAAAAGCAGTCACTCCAGAGTAGCATTGAAGCAAGCAACACTGCTATTATTACATGAGTTGTACTTAGACCGAACGCAGATATACACTGATAGGTCCGTCTCATCCAGCAGCTCATCAGGTGCCGCTGTAATTCCGGCTGCAGAAATGACAATCAAGTTTAAGTTGTCGCATATGACTACCTCTACGGCATCAGAACTTGCTGCTATAAGGGCTGCTTTACAATATCTCGTTCAAGAACGTCCAGGAAAATGGGTCATATTCTGTGATTCGAAGGCAGCGCTTCAGAGTTTGCAGTCTGCCATGCGTAGGAGGAGCCATGACCAACTGGTACAAGAAATAAGACATTGCCATCATGAAGCTCTAGCACGAGGGCATGATATTATGTATCAATGGCTGCCTGGACATATCGGTATTACCGGAAATGAATTAGCCGATGATGCAGCCCGCTCAGCCCATGAAGAAACCCGTGTAGTCCCGATTCCTCTATCAAGGAATGATGCAGCAAGACAACTTTACCGGCTGGCTCGAGATCTCACACGCACGTTCTGGTCGTCTACCAGCTTCCAAAGGTGTCAATTTTATGAACTGGATCCTTTGCTCAAGCTAAAGCTACCATCACAACTTTCCCTCTCCGATGCGACACTGTTATGCCGCCTTTGGTTGGGTGTTGCATTTACAAAGGTGTACTCCTTTCGCATTGGTATGGCAGACACTCGTACATGCGACTACTGCGGAGCTGAAGAGACCATCGAACACGTCCTGTGCAGCTGCGTTTGCTACGACACACAGCGATGCCAGCTACGGATGGTTTTGAATCGACTTGACCCCGGACCATTTTGTGTGCAGAAGATACTAGGACCTTGGGCATCTGCCTCAGTTGCGCAGAAAGCAACTAAAGCACTGCTACTTTACCTTAAGTCAACAAACCTGAGCGACCGCCTGTAGACTGTGTGTGCTCCCCGAGTGTGCTCGTGAGTGTGTGTACCTTCTCATCTTTCTGCAACCTCTTTTCTCCCCTTTATCCCTTCCCCAGTGCAGGGTAGCAAACCGGATGTGCGTCTGGTTAACCTCCCTGCCTTTCCTTGCATCTTTATCTCTCTCTCTCTTTTCCTCAGTATTCCTAACAATTTCTCTCTATCTTTCTTTTCTTCTGCTCTGTTTTATTTATCTCTTTCTTTCTATACTTTTCTCTCTTTTAGTCGCCATTTCACCTTCTATGTTTTCCTGTATTTATTTCCTTTTTTCTTTCTTTATATATATATATTTCCTATGTCTCTCTGTACTAGTTCTTGCCCCCGTATTTCCTACGTCCTTGCTATACTACACCGCACAAGGCTATTCTTTCGTCCGCTCGCGTACCTAGATGGCCGAGTCGTTGCGAAGCTCGCCTTCAAATCGTGGCTATACGGGTTCGGTTCTCGCTTCGGCAAGAAATTCTTTTTTTCTCCCTCATTGTTCTTCTCTCGCCCATTATAGTCATTGCACTCCACGCCGGACATAGCGGCGTGCTTGTTGTGGGAGCGAAGCAGAGGAGAAGGAATAAGATGAAGTAGAAGTGGACAGCGTGCGCGGGCTCATGAGGATGATAATTTCCTACCTACAGCAAAGCTCGAGTATAAGAGCCCTGCCGTAAAAACAAATCACATAAGAAGTCATCAGCGTCAACAAATGTTTACGACCTGCTAGTCGGCAATACGGCTCAAACCATAAATCGTCAAGTTGTACATGTAATAGCCGGGATCCGTGGATGTGCACAATGTTGCTGATTCGTGAACACTCAGTGGGAACCCCGAAGTTACAGCGCACTAATACATGAGACTGGCGTGAATTACGCATCTACTATAGCCGCTGGTGAGCTTTTAGCAAGCGCGACGTTTACAAGGATACCCGAGGTATAGGACGAAGGTTCTGTCTTGTCGACTTAATGCACATGATATGTGATAATATACTCGATACCTGTAAACTGAAGGTGACATGTTGACTTATTGCACACTACACACTTTCATAGATGACCTTGGTCTGCGAGTGAGGGCCAGAGCTGCGCAACGCAGCTTCCCAGTACAATTTCTTGATTGTTGTGATCCATCGGCAGTGACAACATGATGGGGAACAGATCCGCTTCTTGCTTACAATGACTGCAAGTGTTAGGGTTCGGTTAGCAGCAGTCTTGATGGGAAACACGGTTGAGGTAGATATTTATGTAAAACAGTTACAGTGTCGTGAACAAAAGATTTATTCGTTTTGGTATTTCTCAGACACATTCAACTCTGCTTGTACATTGAGTATTGCCAGCCACGCTGTGTTTGCTTGTTGGAATACTCCTGTCCTTGCACTGATCTCTTTTACGTTTCAAAAAGGACAGTGGTCGGCTTAAATGAATTAAATTCAGTTAAGCTTATTTCAGTATCAAAGGCAGACAATAGAGCAGCCACAGCAGCGATAGTGTTGTGAAAACGAAAACAGCAATTAAGGCTAGACTAATTAACACGTGGCAACAGCAACAGGAAGTGATTGGGCTTTATACAATTATCTGCGAGGGTCATGTCGATTACATCAGTAAACCACTGTTTATAGCGAGCGGCAGTAAATAAATATATCATCTGGTGACCATAATACGTGTGTAAGGGAAGTGTCAATCTTCAAACTCAATACGATTTTCCCAGCTTGCGGTGCTTTCGCAAGCAAGCTGCATCCCCATTTTCTCTATCATTACTTCTTTACCTGGCGCAATTTTTTGGGGCGAATCACCATAGTGTCTCGGCTTGTCGGCGTGCTGTGCCATAGTCATGGTGCATCATAAACGGGTTTGTACAACAAAATTTGGTGGTGGTGGTAAAAAAGATTATTAAAAACATCGGCAAATTCGTGGCCTAGGCCTAGGTCACCCACAAGGAGGCCCACAGACCCTATGTCCTCGCCACCTCAAGGGCTTGGTGGATGGCTCCCAGCTGACCTTGGAGGTTGAAGTTGCGCAGCGCGGCCGTCTACCACCGTTCCGCAGCTTCGTCTGGGGGAAGACTGCATTTTATTCTCTTATATGGCCGCACAATGCCCGAGAACGTACTTAAGCAATACGTGAGTCCAGCCACCCA